GGGGGCTGCAATCCCACATCCCGATGCCATCCTCCTTCCTGGTGGGTCCAGGTGGGAAGGCGTGAGCTGGTTCCCGGCACCGCTGGCTGTGTTGGGCTGGGGCAGAATCGCAGCCCCTTGACCATGTTCCTGCTCCCCGCCGGGAGATAATTTCATCCGGGGGAAAAAAAAACCTGTAAAAATGGAATAGAGGAGAGGTTTCCTCAAGAGGGCACTAGTTGCAAGAGAAACTGCCTAAAAATCCAAGGAAACTGGACGTCCAAACATCCCGCTGTCCTTTCCACCCGAGAGAATCTTTCTATTTGGGGGAATTAGGTTTTTTGGGTTTTTTTTGTTTGTTTGTTTGTTTGTTTGTTTGTTTTTTCTTTTAACATTTCATTTTGCTTTTCATTTTTCTTTTGGAACAACAGAAGAGGTGTTGCTTTGTCCTGTGCTGAGCCAAGCCTCCCAAATGCACCAGCCCCTCTCTGGAAGAAATTCCTTGGAATTAGCATGGAATTAGCCAGAACCTACCCTTTTGCAAGCATGTGCTGCATCCTCCCCTCTCTCTTTTCCCCCCTTTTCCAAAGCTATTTAAGGCTGTGGCAACATGTTCAGGGAGGAAACATGCCAGAAGGGAATACACTTCTTTTTGAGTCACCAAGAAAAAATACAGCAGATTTGTTGTATTTTCAGGGTTGTTATAAATCTGGGAGGTGTGGAAGATGTTCCTGGCGTTGCTTGGAGCCTGGCCTCAGTATGGTGGCGTCACCCAGGACCTCTGGACGGTGATGGAGGCTGCCTGAGCCAGCATCTCAGAAAACCACAAGGTCATTTATTTCACTCAGGAGTTTCTCCTCGATTCAGACACCAAAAGAAGAGGCCAGACTCATAAAACAGCTGAGCACGTTGGAAAATCTATCCCACTGGCAAAGCTAACCACGTTAAATTAACAGAAAGGCTCCTTGACTTGACAGCATCCTGATTTTTCTTTGGCCCACAGGCTCAAAAAGCACTTAAAGACACTGGCCGTCGGCTGCTGCAGAAGTGTAAAGTAAGTTTAATGTGATTTTTATTCAGCTCCTGGTGATGATGGCAGGAAAATCTCAGCAACTCGTTTGTGCCTTGCATGAATTTTAAAGCAGGGAGGGAAATGGATCCCAGTTCTGCCATCCTGGCCAGTCCCAAGTAGCTTTCAAAGCAATACCAAAGCATTTCCAAGAAAAATTAATAGACATTTCGTGACAGGGCTTCATTTTCCCAGTCGTTTCCATGTGCTGCTGCCTGTGATCTGGAGGTACCCTCTGGAATGATGATTGCAAGTGGTTTAAGTGGTTTCCCTTTCTCATCTGCTTCCAAAGCTTTGTAGGGGAACAAAAGACTCGTGGTGGGGAAATTAGGATGCAAAGGGGCGATATGGAACAATAGGACAGTAATTTAATGTGAAAGTTAAAGAAAATGGTGCTAAAGGGTCAAGCTGAACCTCCCCACGCCCTTCCCATTCCCTCAACAGCCTGACTGGCATTAGCAGGGCTGATCTGAGCAAGGCTGGATCCAAACACAGAAGGTTATTTCCTTCCATGACATCAAAGGGGAAAATGCCTCATTTTTAGGAGCTGTGCCCATGAAAGGAAATGGCGAGCAGCCAGTGGGAAATTATCATTGCTTTTTCCCCAAACAAACTTTTCAATCTATTGCATGTCCATAGGGACGTTGGTTTCAACTCCAATAAACAAAAAGCTATCTGGGAGGATATTTGGGATATTACGTTTTCCCTTTTTTTTTTTTTTTTTTTTTTTTTCTGTCCTCACCCTTGATTTTTCAGCTCACACCCTCACACCCAAGGTCTCAATTCTAGAGGTTTATACTCCAGCACAGTGGTATAAATATCTGGCACAGGGTGCCCAGAGAAGCTCTGCCTGCCCCTGGATCCCTGGAAGTGTCCAAGGTCAGATTTGGATGGGGCTTGGAGCAACCTGGGATAGTGGAAGGTGTCCCTGGACATGGCAGGGGGTGGAACTGGGTGGGCTTTAAATAAGGTCCCTTCCAAACCATCCAATAATTCTGTGATTCTATGAAGTAAAAAGAAAAAAACCAAACCCTAAATCAGAGAGGCTGAGGAGTTTGGAGGATATGTAGGAGACCAAAAAGTGACCAGAGTAGCAGGAAGTGATGAGGGTTTTCCACCCAGCTGTCGTTGCCCGTGGGGCTCTGTGTCCTCCTGCTGCTGCTTGGGGGCAAATCTCCCCTAGAGCTGAGATTTGGGGGTGTCTGGGCTCCTTTCTGTCCTCCCTGGACACCTCCATCCCCCTCCTCTTGTCTTCCCTGTGAGTAACCAGGAGCGATGGCTTCTGCCACAGGCTCTGGAGGCAAAAGTTGCCCTTTATTAACCTGCCAAGGGCATAAGAGACCCTCTGTGTATTTAACCTAAACTTTGTTTTTATGACTTTCCAGGCTTGTCTGTGCATTTTCCTGTTTTTGCTTTGTTCTCCGGGATCCTCAGCCAAGTTTCTGTCCCCTGGGCCAGCAGTTCTTGCTCTCCACATATTTTAATCCTCCATGGAAAGGAGCTGTGGTACCTTTAAGCAGTGTAACAGCTCTTCTCTTGACTGTTCCCCCACCTTGCAGTTCCCTTGCTTGGAAATCTCTGCAAGGCCCCAAATTCCAGGGGATAAAGAGAGCGTGGGGATTCCTGGTCCGTTGTAGGGTGGGATCAAGCATCCAGCACGGGATATTTTCGGATATGGAATAGGACAATCCCAGGTCAAGCACGGGGTGGTTAGGGGATGGAGGATCCCTGCTCCAGCTGAGGCATTTGAGGAATGGAGCAGGTGGGTCCCTGGTCCAGCAGGGATTTTGGAGGGTATGAACTGGGGAGGGTCCCTGGTGCAGTAAGGGAGCATTGGGGGGATGGAGTGAGTGATCCCTGCTCCAGCTGGGGCATTTCCAGGATGGAGCATCCCTGTGCAGAGACCCCTCTCCAGCCCACGCCCTTCCACCAGGATGCGATGCACAGGGCTCACACTGTGAACCCAGGGGCTTCTTCCTTTCCCTCTCCTGTGCCAGGGGGGCAGACACTCCTGCAGAAACCTCCTTTTAACAGGAGCGCGATGCACCGCCGTGTCTCCCGGGGCTCGCTTTTAAATCCGCTAATCCCCCGCGATGGCACGCGTGTTAACAAACACCTGTCCCCCGCCAAAGCCACCGGGGCAGCGGGCGAGTGCTCGGGCGAGCGCAATAAAAGCCGCAATTAGAAAGGCGGGCTTTGATCTCCGGGAGGGAAGGAGTTCAGGCAGCTGTGCCGAGACCTCTCCCGCAGCCACTCTTCTACTCCAGTAACACTCGAACAAAGAGGATCTTGTGTCCGCGGCGCCTCGGTACGGTCCTTCTTCCCAGCCCGCGGCCACCTGTCCCTCCCCGCCGCCCCAGCGCGCTCCCGTCCCTGCCGCGGGGTCCCTTCGCTGCCGCCGAGGGGCACGAATCGGATTTCACGGCCCCGACGCTTGCGGGGAGCTGCCGGGCTTTGCTCTCCATCACTCAAAAGTCCCCGTCTCACTGGCCTCTTTGTTCCGCCAGCCCTGCCTCCAGCAGCCCGGCTCTCCATCCAGCTGTGCCGGGATGCAGGAGACGGAGCCGGGATGCAGCACGGGACCCCCTGTGCGCCGCCCTGGGGACTCCAAAGAGGGGACACTTGCAGTTCTGCGTGAGGTGAGGTCTCTGCATCCCACACAAGGATCCTGGCTCAGAAGAAGCTGAGGATTGTAGCCAGATGGGATTGACCTCTTCTCCAGGTAACCAGTGACAAGACAACAGGAAATGGCCTCAAGCTGTTCCAGAGGACATTCAGGTTGGACAGCAGGAGGAATTTCTCCATGGAAAGGGTGGTCAGGCATCAGAAGGGACCACCCAGAGAGGTGGTGGAGTGCCCGTCCCTGGAGGTGTCCAAGGAAGTCCTGAATGTGGTACTCTGGGCTAGGTGACAAGGACGGGACTGGTCACAGGTTGGACTTTTCCAACCTAAATGTTTCTTTGAAGCTCCTTCTGAGGAGATACTTTGGTGACACTGGAAGAGGAAATGTGTTGCTTGTTTGCTCTTTGATTTCCAAGGATTGGCTCAGATCTTCATGGTGTAAGCCAGGAAATTCCAGAATAAGTCCCAGCAGTCAGGTTGTAGGAATCCCTAGACCAGATCCTGCATCTCTCTGAATTTGAAAGAAGCCAGTGCGATGCTGCACCACACAGTTTGCTGTAAATTTTCATAGAATCACAGAATCCTAAAAGAGTCTTTGTCAGCAGGATGGCAACGGGGGAAGTACTTCTTAAAACACAGTTAAAAACCCCTTCCGGATTTTTGCCACACTTTTCCCATAATTCCCGGAATAAGGCGGGTCTGAAAAGGAAGAGAAGCGGATATAAAACGAGAGCGGGGTCGGGGGAAAGAAACAGGTTGTAAAAGCAGTCAAGGATGCCACACAGAATAAATATTTCATAGCACAGGCAGGCACACCCCAGGCTATCAGAGCCCTTGGGATGGAGAGGTCACTTCCCATTGCTTGGTGGCTTCCTACGTTGGGAGGAGAGGATGTTCCCAATGTCCCACTCCCCAAGGCAATGTCAAAGAGCCCACACCCCTTGAGGACCACAGTTCTGCAGGAGCTTTTCTTCCAGCCTGGTTGTGCTTGGTGGGAGGTCCTGTTATTCCTGCTATTCCAGACTGTGCTGGTCATGAGAGGGTCCTACCCTGTTCCCTTGCTGGTGGGGGTCTGTCACCTCCAGGGGAAGGTTGGGATGGGGATCAAACAAGTGGCAGGGGAAGGGTTGTGGCCACCAGGATCTGGAAGTTCCCCTCCACCCTCTCTCATGGCTCAGTTTGGTCTCCAAAATTTGTTCCAGACACCGTTCCCCAGGTAAAACCCTCGAATCCATTCCCCCCACCACCACCTTTTATTTCCATGGGAAAACCCAGAAGAAAGGAAATCCAAGAAAGAAAGTGTCATCTTCCACTAATGGGAAAAAACATGTTTTTCACCATGATCCAATAGGATTTTCACTGGGCTCCTGGGTGCAGAAGGGTGGGATCTCTTCCTGACACATCCCAGCCATCCTCCCTTGCCTGGGGTGATGGGAGGAGAGCAAAAGTTTCTCATTAGAGAATTTTCAGATTCATAACAAACTTCATACATTTTTACAAGTATTTTGTATCTCAGGGAGTGAAAACTCACCCTGGAAGAGGTTTTGTTTAGCTGAAGAGTGACTTTTTCATCAGCGACAGCAGATCTTTGCCTGTTAAGAGAGATGGGGTGTGAGACAAAAATACTTCTGGCTTGCTCAGCTCTTTGGGAATGTGTTTTGTGAGCTGAGCTGGGAATTTTTCCTTGTTTTCTGCAATATCTTTTACAATATCTCAGGCAAGTGCAAATCTGCCCCTCGAAACTAGAAATATTTTGGATGTACCTTTATCTCTGGCACAATCAGATTTCCTTCCTTAATTATTTCTCCTTGCAAGGATGGGATGACCAGTTGGCCATGGGTGAGACCATGATTTTATGGAAAATTATGTTTTCTCAGAAAAGAAAAGATGAAGGAGAGCAAAAGGAAAAGGTACAGACACCCTCTGGCAGAACCAGGATGTGATTCTACAAGCATGGAGTGCCAGGGCAAGGGATAATGGCTTCCCACTGCCTGAAGGCAGGGTTAAGTGGAATATTGGGATGGAATTGTTCCCTGTGAGGGTGGGAGGCCCTGGAATGGAATTCCCAGAGCAGCTGTGGCTGCCCCTGGATCCCTGGAAGTGTCCAAGGCCAGGTTGGACGGGCTTGGAGCAACCTGGGATGGTGGAAGGTGTCCGTGCCATGGCAGGGGTGGCCGTGGGTGATTGTTAAGGTCCCTTCCAATCTAAACCAGTCTGGGATTCTGTGAGTTGTCTGGGACTGTGGGAACACCCCTTGATGCAGGACAATGCACGGCCATCCCTCTGCCTCCTTCTGACAATTTGTCCAGATCTTAGCTTTTTTCCCAGGATTTTGTGGCATTGAATGTGACATAATTTTAATAGTCAACAATCAGTTTAATAATCTCCATTCTGCACAGTTCATACATGGACTGAGCACCACCAGATGCACCGATGGACTAAGATGAGGATGAGGAACAAAGGGATTTAGAAGGACATCAAACAAAGCTGCAAGGGTGGGTTTCTCATTATTAGACAGATGTGAGCCTGCTGTGGGTGCAGGACACCTCGCAGGAGCTGTTTGCAGACAGCTGGGCACGGGGCACTATGAGTAATTCCCCTTGCACATCTGCCTGTGCCTCAGAAAGGATAACACTGGACAGAGCCAGCTGGAAAAGAATCCCTGGAACACGGAGTAAAAGCTTGCCAGGCAATTAGGATCGCTCGTACACACTGTCCACATTTACAGATGACTCCCCATCCCGCTCTCCTCCCTCTTCACACCCTTTCCTTCGCAGTTCCCAGCACTTCAGTGCTCTGAAAGGGGATTTTTTCATCAAAAGCTGAGCTGAAACTGCCTTGCAAGCACTTGCATCTTTCCCAGAGGGCTGAGGGAGGGGGACACAGCAGCCCCACTACTTAGAGGGTCCCCTTTGGGAACTCCTCTTCAGGGGGATATTTTGGGATGCACCCAGCACTTCCATATTTCACATCCCTATTTAATTTAAGCAGCAGGGCTGTTTATTCTGTAAGAACACTGTGCTTTTATTAGCCAGTTATCTACAGTATGAGGCATTCCCCACCTCAGGAATGCTGGAGACCATAGGACAAGGCAATTTCTTTTGGAGCCTGGTCCAATTTACACTAACCATCAAGGAGGGATCCCTAAAAAGGCTGGGGAGCAGAGCAGAGCCAGCAAGAGGCCTCTGGCAATGCAGCCTTTGTAAGGTCCTGTGCTTCCTTCCCTATAAACATGGGCTGGGAGCAAATCTGATCTAGGGAGGGCTTTTTTTAAAAGAACATCCCATGGGTGGGAGCCAGCTGGGAGGCACAGAGCCAACCACTGGTCCCCATCCCCAGCAGGAGGCAAAGAGGTGCACGTATCTCTCAGTAATGGGCATCCCTCAGGAGGGATCTGGGTGAAGGCACATGGAAAACATTGGCTTGGGGTTGGAAAAAAAGGTTTGATCCCATGTTTGGGTTGGTTTGGCACGGCGGGACACCACTGGTGCCTCAGTTTCCCCCTCTGCAAATGCTCCTGGTTTGCACAGAGCTCTGCAGGCAAAAAATCCTTACCAATACCATCAGCTCCATCAGAAACTTCCTGCTGTCTCATCCCATCCACAAAGACTTGTAATATTCTTTTATGAGGACAAAGCAAGAGTAAGGAATTGTTTTACGAGATGCTTTTCCCTCTGTGGCACCCCAAAGGTCTCCTAGGGAACCCTGGAACACCAAACATATGGATGCAGCAGCAAACAATATGAAACAACAGTACTTTCATTGTTTTGTGGCCTTTTATAATCCATCCAACGATTTTTAAATAAACTGGATGGAAAATAATGGAAATTCCAGGCTCTGGAACCCATTATTCCCACATGCCAAGCCCAATGCAGCTAAGTGCAACAAGGAGCCCAAAGTTAATGAAATTCCTGCCTGAACAAACTTTTATCCTGCTGTTTAGGAAAATGACTTGTGCATCATAAAAGCAACATCACTCAAGCTGTTAAAATGTCATCTGTGGGAAGGAAGGCAAAGGAGCAGGAAGAATATATTTGTTAATTACATAGAACCAGCAATATACATATAAAATATATCCAGTATATGTTTAAAATTTATCTTGATTAAGTTACTGGAGGTTGTTGGGTTGAAAGCACAAGGGTGAATTGATCAACTGCTGTGCCAGCACTTGAGGTCTCCAATTTAAATTTATCTCCAAATTTTCAGTGATTTTCATATGAAACACCCATCCATCACCCCACCACGCCTGGAAAAGCTCCATTCCTAGAGCAGTTCTCTGGAAAAATGTTCCGTTGACATCCAAATGAATAAGTGACTGCATCACTTCAAAGCCCCCAAAGGAGCATTTTTTATTTTTTGGAGAACACATTTCAGATTACAGCAGCCACCTAGTTTCTAAAATTCCTGATGATCTTCCCATTCTGATGAAAGATCTGTTTTGCACAAGAGGAGCTTTTGCAGAGGAAAAAGCTCTCCCAGCCGGCCCTAATTAAGTTTTGCTTTGCCTGGATGAAGCACATTTCTAGAGCTGGCTTTTCACAGCCCCTGTGTCTGCTCCAGCTTGCTTCCAAAGGGCTGGAAAACACCCTTGGAAAGCTGGAGTGCGCTGGTGGCTTTTGGAAGTCCTCCCAGGGAATAGATATTGATTATTGCCATTGCATCCTGCTCTTTTCTCCACCCCTGGAACTGCTCCAGCCAGGCTGGACAGGACTTGGGCAACCTTGTCGAGTAGAAAATGTCTCTGCCCATGGAACAAGATGAACTTTGAGGTCCTTTCCAACCCAAACTGCCAGTTTTCAGCTTCCTTTTCCTACCTATGTTGGGGTCAGTATTGAAGGCACTTGAGACGATAGTTTGTGTTCAGGCTCAGGTGTTTATAATTTCTTATCTATGTTACAGTCTCACAGCAGTGAGTTCTGCAGTCTTTCATTAACCAGGCACAAAAATGGCTATCTCTTGTTACAAGGTCTTTTAAGGCTAAACTACCCAATTAAGAAATGACACCTAAATTATTTTCACTTTTAACCCAATAACTGATCATTTGAAGTCCACGGTGTGGACTTTTCTGTCCAATAACAAAATATCACCCAAACCCATAAAGAAGAAGGAAAAAGAAGGTAAAGGAGAACAACATGCCTCCATCCTAAAACCTCCATCTTGCTTCATATTTATTACTATATTCTAAAACACCAAACTCTAAATTTTCCACCCTGTGATATGACACATTTCTAAACAACTATACAACAACTATACACCCATAATCCCAGTGCTATTAATCCATTTTGGAAGCCTTCTCCACCACCTCAGGTCAAATGCAGTGCTCTCCTGGGAGTCAGAGTCTGTCTGTAGAGAAAATCTAAAATTCTCAGCCTCCAGAACTCCAGAACCAAACGATTCTGGGATTCTATTACAGGTTCCCTACAGGTTTTCCAAATGATTCATTGGTACAATGAGCCTTCACCTGCAGGGAACGGGCACAGCAGGAGATGGAAGTCACCTGGATATAAGCGAATGCCCAACCCTTAATGAAGCATGATGTGATGTTTGCCCCTTTACAAACACCCCCAAAAAATGACTGTCACCCCCCACCCCTTCCCTGTGTAACTTCTCTGGATTTTGGGCGGAAATCCATTTTCCCTGGAGGATGCCAATTTGCACTTGAGGAAAAAAGCATGGAAAGTATTTTGGACTGAAGGTTTTTTGGAAGAAATCACTATTTCTCCTGCTGCTCCACTGACATAAACCTGGAGGGTTTGCTGTGTATTTGCCCCTGAATTCCATTGGAGTTGTCACTTCCAAGCCCGTACCTCGGAAGGTTCCAGCACTGCTCAGCCCCAGAGCCAGCTCCATCCCAGTGCTGCCTTATTGAGGTCCCTGAGTGCCCCGTTTCTCTTCACACCCATCCTGCTGCTCAAAAAATACGAGCTGCTAAACACAGGCAGATGGAAAAACACCGGGAAGAGGAGGGTGGGCAGTTGATGTCTTTAACACCTGCAGAGGCTTCAGCCTGGAGGCCAGCTTGGGGCAAGGACACCTTGTGCCATTCCCAGGCGGAGGGAGGATGGAGTGTGCCTGAGATTCTGGCACAGCCATCTCCCAACAAGTCCTGCTCCCTGTTCAGGTGTCTCTCCAGCACATCATAATTTCTGCCACGGGCTTAAGGCATGGGCAGGTCTTTTACCATCTTCTCCCTCACCTCTGAAACTACCTGAGGCTGACATGGAACAGAGCTCTTTGGAGAATAGTCTTAAAAGGCACAGGAAGGTCTCTGAGATGATGGGAGGTCACAGAATCCTGGAATGGTTTGGGCTGGAGGGGCCTTAAAGCCCATCCAGTGCCACCCCCTGCCATGGGCAGGGACACCTTCCACTGTCCAAGCCCTGTCCAGCCTGGCCTTGGACACTGCCAGGGATCCAGGGGCAGCCACAGCTGCTCTGGGCACCCTGTGCCAGGGCCTCCTCACCCTCACAGAGAATAATTTCCTCCCAGTATTCAATCTAAACTTTCCCTTATCATCATCATCTCCCTCGCCTCCTCTGTGGGTGTAAACTGGCACAAACTCACTGATTTTGAGGGAGCCCTCAGCTCTGGATGCA